CTAGGGCGCCTTTTAACCCATTCTTTTCACTCTTAACAAACCCTAGCCACCCCTAACTGCTAAATCCTCACATTCCATTCCTTCTAATCTCCACCATCCATTCTAGGGCACTCTCTTTTTAGCATTCTAACCCTAAGAGCCACCTAACTTCTAATCTTCATCATTCAGCCTTTAACCATTAAATCTTAGCCTTACATAATATTGGGTGCCTTCTCCTTTTCTTCTTAGCCTTAGGATCACCCTAGAACCATCCTAACCCTTCATTCTAAACCCTAGGGCACCCATATTTTTGCTAAAACCTAGGTGCCGCCCCCACCTTTCTCTTTATTCCTAGTTGTGTCCACCTTTCTCTATAAAAAGGGCCCCAAGGACCCTAAGGGGTTGCAGTTCGCCAACACCACTACTGCCACCTCTGGATTTGAATCCCAACCATATTTTCTTCAGTTTTAGAATTACTCTTTGTTCTTTAATTTCAGTTTATTTTTCCTTCATGCAAATTTATTTTATTAGTTTTAATTTGTGTTTTAATTCTCTTCTACAGATCTGGAATTCGGTCAGGTAAGACAGAAGGCCTAGCTCGAGAAGTTCGAGGGTGGAAGGAGAGATCCGGAAAGTGCTACCTCTGATCGGATTCTTAGACATTTTTATTTTGTTTCTTTTATTTATTTGTTTCTGTTATTTATCTTTATGCACTTGCTATTCTCAGTACTGTTCAAATTTGGTTTTAATGAATTCTATTTTTTTTCTTTTAATTAATTAATTTTATATTTCTACAACTCTCACTTGTGTTCTCTTCTCCTAGATCTAAGAAAATAATTATTTTTCCCCTACTTCCCTGTGGATATGACCCGTTCTCACCCATTTAATATGTTTATATTTCTTTTGTAAGAAACAGTAAATTTATAAATGTTTAAACTAGTGTTCCGGAGTGATTAACGACGCACTTCCGGACACATCAACGACCACCCCAGAAAATCAAGGAGGTACAATGACTAACTAGCCCGATAGCTGCCTTAAACCGATTTATGTCTAAATTGACAGGTCGCTGCCTTCCCTTTTTTAAAGCAATTAAAAAGAATGAGACTTTCGAATGGACTAAAGAGTGCCAACTCACGTTTGATGAGCTGAAAATGTACCTAAGTACCATCCCGATTTTAACTCGACCTGAGGAAGGAGATGTGTTGAAGTTGTACCTATTCGTGAGTGAAGAGGTGGTTAGCTTGGTACTAATTTGAGAGGTAGATCGGGTTCAACGACATGTCTACTATGTGAGTAAAGTGTTGCAGGAAGCAAAAACCTGAAACCAGGAGCTAGTGGGGGTAGATCGGAAACTACGCCCATACTTCCAAGCCCATACCATCGTCGTCCTTACTAGTAGACCTCTGAGGCACATCCTACTTAAGCCCGAGGTGTCAGAAAGATTGATGAAGTGGTCCATCGAGCTTAGCGAGTACAATATCCAGTTCGAGCCCTGTCCAGCAATCAAAACCCAAGTCTTGGTGGACTTCATAGCAAAATGCATATTCAGCACACCGGCCCCTGAACTAACTGAGCCCGTTAACACGACAGAGGCGTTGACCAATGTGGCACTAGTCCCGGCCAGATCAATACCGACCTGGGACGAGGAGCCCTGGATCCTCCACGTTGACGACGTCCAACCAGTGAGGAAGTGGTGCAGGACTGAAGCCTAAGGGCTATAGCGCCAAGCTGACAAAATACCTTGGCACGATATGAGACCCAGTCACCTCTCTGACATGGGCAGAGAAGTCCTAGTCGCCTCTTCGGCATAGGCTGCTTAAGACCAGTTGCCTCTTCGGCACGGGCTTGTTAAAACGTAGTCGCTTTGGCATGGGTAAGGCAAAGTAGCCTAGGTGCAGATAGGTCAGGCATGTACACCTTATAGTGTCTACTTATCCCGGCGTACAATAACGTTGTTCCTATTCAAGTTCTGGAGTAATCTATACTTAAAAAAATTTCGCTCCTATATGGTCTAGCTCGCGAGCTTGGGAGAAATCTACACTTAGAAAAAAATTTTGTACACAAGGAGTTTTGCAAAATACTTGTATTCCCAAAAAAGACAGAAAATTAAATACTGAGTCAATTCCCAAAAAATTAAATACGGTTGCCATTAACCCCTACGAAGCTTTTGCAAGGTTGGGATGTATAGTGCAAACTGTAATCATGACCATATGTCATACATAGGAAGCTTTTGCAGGGTGAAGAGATAAGGGTGGAAGATGATATCAGTGGCAAAGTTCTTGGCCCTATCTTTTGTAGGGGAAAAGTGACTTTGAGAAGCTTTTGCAAGGTTTGAGCAAGAGTACCCACTTAGGGTTTAGGTTCCTCTATGACTGTGTTTGGTTTGAAGGAAAAAGTTGGAAAAGGAAGGGAAAGATAAAGATTAACCTTGTAAAGGTTTCTTTACCTTTTCCTTATGCTTTTCACTACCTTTTTCTTCAAACGAAAACATAGCCTAAAGGAATTAATCTTGGTATGGATTGTTTGAGGAATGTTTAGTTGAACAAGTGGAGGAAGATAGTATACCATAATTTTGGTGGACTTTCGGGAAGTTGAAAATTAAGGAGGGCATTTTTTGGTACGTACCGAGTCATTGCGTGGCCGCTTTGAGTTCACGTAGGTGCCACATGGGATTTTGGGGTCCAACGGTTGAAAAACCTATTTGGTTGCACCATTTTTAGAGAACAAAAAGAAATAATAATGCATCGAAACTTGTGCAACTCACAACCGCCCGCAACGCAAAAAAGACAAATCAAGTTGGAGGAGTTAGTAGCGGGAAAACACTACCCAATGCATCGTGATGCATATTTCATCCTATGGGTTTTCATATGGAACCGAGTAAAGGAAAACAAAAACCTAGCGAAGAGATCGAAACCAAAGGTTGCCACCGCTCTCAGTTTTAGGTATGCATCTCCCATATCCAATAGTTTTTCTCCTTATAATAAGTGGTCAAGTATCAAACGGACAAATAGTAATTGTATGCTAGTTCATTAGGATTCATGCTAATACAATGTACAATACTTACACCGAATCAAGGAAATACTCTTGAGAAAACAGTTTCAACCAAACAGAATATAAGTGAAACAATTGCAATTCATCCTACATGGCAGCAATGTTGCCAAACAAAAAATAAGCCGTTTCGTTGCTGTTTTCAGTGAGGTGTTGTGCGGCCGTTTTCAGCGGGAAACACCTCACTGAAAACAGCAACGGTACCAAACACATACGAGATAAGCGGACCTCTACATAGACATGGTGCTGCTTGTGAGTCCAAGGGGAGCCTTGAATTAAAAGAAAAGATAAGAAAAGGAAGGGAAAAATAAGAAATCCTATACAAACCTTGTATTAACTTTCCCTATTTTTTCCTTCCTAGACTTCTTTACATTTTCTTTCAAACCAAACACAATCTAAATGTTTGGGGAAGAGAAAATGATGCTTCTAAAAGTGTCATCATGATCGAGCAGATAAGCGGAGAAAGGGGCAAGAACTCCATCTTGCTCCGGCGTTTTTCCTTGCTTCTTTTTCCTAGTCTTTGGTTAATTTTGTTGTCACTTGTTTTTTTTTTTTATATATATATTTTAGTGGAGGCTAGTTGGATTGATTCTCTTTGTTTCAGGGTTTTGAGGCAGGTGGTTGTGTTGATGTGTGTAATATCTGTTTTGGGGTGTCAGGTTCATTGTCCTGCTCAGTTGTCTATTTTTTTTCTTTTTTTTGGCTGGATGGTTTTATACATCCCAGCATTCTCTCTCTCTCTCTTTTCTTTTTGAATAAAATTTTTATTTATTACCAGAAAAAAATAACCAAGTCATTGATTCATACATTACAAGTCATCTATTTAATCTCTTGTGTTATAAGAAATAAATAAGCATCTAAAAAAGACAGTTTTCTTATCTACCGTACGTCCAAAGGAGCCTCTGATAATTAACTTGCAATTCTATCATATAATAATATACTGTTTAGTTAGTACATGGGAATCTACAATGCAAAGGGTGCACCTTGTGCGTTTCCAATTATTGAATTTGTAGGCCCCATTTGGTAGATTGACTAAGGAAAAAACAAAAGGATCCGTTTGGGAGATATCTCAAAGAATATTCAAACTGCTGATCAGAATTTTGTTTGTTTAGATAAATGGAAGAATTACAAGGATACAATAATTAATACGAATAACTTTACTTAATTTATATAAGCTCAAAGAGAGGATTAATTAATGAGCTTTCAAGGACCAGTCAGAATTGCTGCTTCTCTTTGGTTGATGGGTACTGTACCGTGCCCATTGGCAACTCCACTGAATCTTCGAGTTAATTAAGCTGAAAGTGTAGGAGATATAGCCCCAATACTCTCTAAATGACTACTGGTTGTAGATGAATATATACACTATATATATATATATATATATATATATATATATATATATATATATATAGTTTGGCAGTGCGTGGTATAAATGTGTAGGAAATAATTAAGACATTGGTCCCGACATACTATTTCCATGATAGTGATAATTGATCCACTGGTACTATACCGTGGATTCTACCACCACTAGCTCCAACTCTTTCTTTGTATATATGGTTGTATAATACGTAGCCTATAATCTTCAATTAAAACTGCTAAATACGGGCTAACCGAGAGTATTAAGTACAGTAGATGACTTCGTATAGATGTTATAGTATTGGATTTTGCTTGCGTTGAATTTAAGTATTAAACCAATTAAAGCTAGGATCCAGCGCAACTTCCACGAAAAGAGGAACCTCCGAAGTCTCAGCAAGGGGCGATCGAAAGGCCACAAGTTTTAGGAGTAGGAAGCCCACAACAGCATTATAAAACCCTCTTATCTACCACTACTCCTTCCACCAATGCACCCTTCTAGCTCTATATAGTTTCTTCTCTATTTAAGACCTTAATTCTTTTCTGCGCTTCTCTCTTGATCTTTCCATCCATCTAACCCTTATTCCTGATCACTTGCTACTTCAAACACGCTGCGATCGATGGATGAAAAGAATGATGTCGTGTTTGAAGATTACTTTCCATCTATGGTAGAGAGAATAGGTGCTGATCGATTCATCGCAGAGCTCTGTCAAGGGTTCTGTTTGCTAATGGATCATGCTAAGGGTCTTATCACATTCGAGAGCCTGAAGAGAAGCGCTTCTCTTTTGGGAGTCCATGACTTGGAAGACGACGATCTCTTTTGCATGTTAAAGGAAGGAGATTTAGATGGTGATGGGGCACTGAGCCAGAGGGAGTTTTGTGTTCTCATGTGCACATTGAGCTTCGGTTTCATGAACGGCTCAAGAAAGTTGCTGCTGGAAGAAACCATTTCAAATGTGTTTTAGGCTGCTTTCATGTATGCATCGCTGTGTTGTTCACATTATATATGGTGTTTTTTCTGGCTCGCTGCACTCCTTTGCGACCTCCAAATCACGAGAACCACTTTTTTACTTTTATATTTCCATCGCTGGTGTGTCTGTATTTCCCTGGGCATCACAAGGGAATTAATGCAGATGTGCTCTCGGTGTTACTAGCTAGGGTTGCAAGAGTGCATTGGTATCTGATACCTGATCAACTAATTACTCTCCTTTTCTAGTTATATTCAAGTTGCAAAATGCCATTTCTCAGCCACAAGCGGCAGGGAGCCACTGAAGCATTATTAGTTTTAATTTATTTCAATTTAAAGCAGAAAAAAAGGAAACAGAGAAAAAATTAGCGCAACTATTCCAATGGTCTATGGAGATGTATGTGAGATACATGAAAAAGTTGATTAAAATATATATATTTTCGAAATTACTGATAGAATGAACTAACAGGATGACAGAAACGTAATATATATATATCTCCCATTACCGTAATTGGTTACTTCGATCACTGTTTTAAAATATAAACTCAATCTATATATTCTAATTTCTAATCTACTGTAGTAATATATAACCTCTCATCGCAACTTATTACAACGGGGATCCACTGACAACATTGAACATCATGGGAGAAACATATGAGCTTCTTGATTCCTAAGGCTGCGCTTGGAAACAATGCAAATGGAGTCTAAATTCCGGTTCAGGGTAAATTTGTATTCTAATTCATTTTTGTCTGTATTTGGTAATAATGCATTTATGCATTGATAAATGACAATTTGCATTGATAATAAGATGTAAAAGTATATCAATAAAAATTAAGTAAATTTGTATTCAAGTGAGCTTTTGATAAAAAAAAATACATATACTTTATTGAAATTTATGTTTGCATCCATTACAGCTAAAAAATCTGTTTGGTAAAAAGATAAATTTATCAATGCAAATTTTGCATTCCTTATGTAAAGAATATAAATACAAATATATATAAAGAGTAAAAGCGTGTATTTTGTATGTAGTTGCAATGTATATATATTCTTTCCAAAGTTTAGGATTTCTTCCTCGATACAATTTTGCATTCCTTATGTCTCATTTTAGTCTCAAAATTATTGCAATTTTAAAAGTAATTAAACTTTCCTGTGCGCTTGTCATGTATCCTGGAGCTCCATATATTCCATATCTCCACCGCTACGTGAAACTCTGTTTTGGGTTCACTACATTTTCAGCCCGAAGCCAAGCTACTCTTGCCAAAGGGTACTGAAAGAACATACCTACGTACCGCTCGTGATATTGAGCATGTTTGGAGGGTTGCTGTGTACCAGTACTGCTTGATGACATGCCACCTAGAAAACTATTAGCATCCAAAATGGATTGCGGGTATTGGTACCGGCTCTTGTTCATTGAAGATATATCCTAATCTTCTCACGTCTCCCTGGCTGTATTAAATATTATTTTAGTTTTAATGGAATCATGATTGGATTAAATAAAGGTCATTTACTTAGTTTCACGCAGTTTTAATATACATAGGGGGCGTTTGGCAAGTCTTTCGACAGAAGATTTTCTAATAGCTAAAGACCCAATAATATATTCAAATATACAAATAATACTCTTGGGTCCCACTTATACTATTATTTATACAAAATATTAAACTGAACCCATTAATGCATTCACCATAACAATAAAGCAATCAATGTATGCCCCACTCTCATCTTTGGCTTACACATACATCACCTGCTTGAGTCCACTCATGTGTTTAGTTATACAAAATATTGAAGTGGGACCCACTCATGCATTCACCTATACAAATAAAACAATGTGGGCTCCACTCTCATTTTGGGCTAGCACATATATTATCTATTGGCCCCATGGCTGTTATAGTGTTCAATATCCTGTTTAGTATAAAATTGTAAATGGATTTCTTTCAACCATGATGTTACAGTGTTCAATATACTCTTTAGTATGAAATAATTCAAAGAAGAACCAACAGATGTTTCAAGATAATTTTTGATAGCAATTCTAGCAGATAACAAGAAAATTAGAGAATTAACAGTTGTGTGTAACAGAAATAATTTTCCAATAAATAGATAATCTTCATCAATGCAAAGGAGGAATAAGCATTATAATTTGGCAATTGGGAAATGTCAAAAATGAATTGATAATCAATTGTAGCAGAAATAACTCTACAATAAATAGTAATATAGGATTTGAGGCAATTTTGTGATATGCCCACAAGGAGGTTCTTTCTTAACTCTAGACCTTCTAGAACTAGCAAACCAATGAAAGAATCTACATTGCATTGAGTTTAAAAAAAAAAACCATCGTCCCGCCTTCACAGTAATAGTAGTTAATATGATATCATAAGTAATTTTAATAATTCCTCTCTCTCTCTCTCCCCATTGTTGGTTCACGTTAGCAAACAACCCTTTGATTTGATCTTGGGAGGGAGCTTGACCATAGAAGGGAAAATTCAATTCCAAGACATTGAAAAATTTTAATAAACAGGGGAAGTAAACAATAGAAACTTCAATTAAAACAAAGAAAGCATATGGGTTTTAATAAATTGAATGGAAATTCTTCAAATTTTAAGCGATCTTAATTCTAAGCACTCGGGCTGGTTGTCTCTGGTCTCTCCACTCATCCTCGAAAAACACACAACAATTTTGATGAAACAAGCCTCCCCATTGTTGAATTCATATTGGTATCAACAGATCATCCAAAGACAAAAAAACCCAAAAGGGAAACCACGAGAAATAGCCCAGATTGGAAGGCCAAAGAACCAAGCATGAAGGGAATGAGAAGGAGAAGCGAAAGTAAGCAAATTGAATATTAAACAGAGAGGTGAAGAGATACCTAGAAGGAAACCAAGATAGAAAAAGAAGAATTTAAAACCAGGAAAATTATGAAAAAGATTAAAACCCAGATCATATAAATAGCGAAAGAATCAAAAGGCGAAAGCCAGATGGCAGATGAATAAAGAAAAGGATGAAAAGAAGAGAAAAGGCAATAGAACTAACTAGGTTGAGAACTGAAAAGAGGATCAGCTAAACAGAAAAATAGACCAAGCTCAACCCTCCCCAAAATTAAACAAATAAATAAAGCAGACCCATGTGAAAAATCAAAGTAAAGAAAAAGAAGGCGTACAAGGTAAACCCCGTTGAGGTGAAAAATGAAAAATATTTGCAGGTTCGAAAAACAAAAAACCTTCACCGAGAGAGGTGTTGTAGTTTTTGTCCACATTGATTTATTACCATCACCTGCGTTGATTCATTAATTACTATTTATGTCCCTTCAAAATCTTTAGATGCGGTTTAGGGAGACCCAGAATTTTTAATAATCAATTGTAGCAGAAATAACTCTTCAATAAACAGTAATATAGGATTTGAGGAAATTTTGTGATATATAGACCAGCTAGAACTAGCAAATTAGTGAAAGAATATACACTGCATCGAGTTTCTGAAAAAAAACCATCATCCCTCCTTCACAGTAATGGTAATTAATAATTCCTCTCTCCCTCTGTCCCCATTGTTGGTTCACATTAGAAGAAGAAGAAGAAGAGAAGAAGAAATCAAAAAAAGAAGATGAAGAAGCAAGGAGGAGGAAAATACTTTCTGCAGAGGAGGGTTTTACACGCACATTGAGGAATGGGTGGTTTTGTTCGAAGAACCCCAACTATTTTCTCAATCGTGCACTTTTTGGCACACGTATGATAAAGCTTAGAAGGCCCAAAATTTGTATAAGCTTGAGTTGGAGCTTCTCAATTTTAGGGATTTTTGGGCTTGTACAAGCTTTTTGAGCTGCCCATCTTCTTGGCTTCTTCTCTTCTTTTGCCAAACGGAAAAACCTCAAAAATTAGGCTTTCAAGCTTTGAGAAGCGCAGAAGACACCATTAAAAGACTTGTCAAATGCAGCCATAATTAATCTATTGTATATTGTTGAATTCTTAACATTGGATTTTTCTCAAAGCACCAAAGGATGGTGAGTATACCTGGCAACAGCTGCAATAAAGAATGGAGACCTATATTCTACTGAACAATTAGAAATTAAATTAAAATAAATAGCACATATCATATCAAAACATAAAAATAAAATAATTTAGTGTGTTCATGATGTATATATGTACGTAGTGAAAAGAATTAGAATGACATAGAACCTACATGTGTTGAGTTTTTCCTGGGTTGTATATATTCAAGGGTGTCAATTGGACTGGATTTGGTCCAATTTGATACAGTCTAATGTGAATCTATTACAAATGGATTAGGTCCATCCAATCCAATGAATATTTTAGATCATTTTATATCGACTCAATTTAATGTTTACACTGTTCAATTTATTTAAATTTATTTTAATTTAGATTGGTTTTAATCAAAATAAGGTCCATTGATACCTATATTCTTATTTTATATCAATCGATTAGATATTGGCTTAATCCAACCCAATTCAATACAACAAGGTTCAATCCAATCTAATATATATATATATATATATAAACCTGCCAACAACTGGTCTATTATCTATTTATGAGAATTTCTTTTATTTTTTTCTATCGCAGCATTGAAAAACTTCGTGTTCTTGTAACAAGTCCTGTCACCAATCCATTTCTGTAATACCTTCTAACCAATTAGATTGATTTGGTAAATATATTTATGGCTTCTTCTTCGGCTGCTGCATCCACCTGAGTACAAGAGAAGTTCATGGGTTCTCTGATTGATGTACTGTTATTAATTAAGGGTCTGGACGTTTGCTTCTAATGTCTTTTATGCATTATCTTTTAATACCTTTAAGATAAATTAAGAGCCTTCAGTAGGGTAGGAGATCCGAATTGCCCAAAAGGTTACTCCTTTTATGTATGTTATGATGATCCTTTATAATAATAATAATTAGAAATTAGTATTGTTTTATTATAATATTTTATTAGTTATTTATGTATTATTTAATTACATATTAAATTATTTTATTATGTATTCAATTATTTATTAATTAATAATTAA